GCGTGCCTCACACAGATTCTGGGGACACACACACACACACACACGCCTCACACACCCTCCTTCCCCTACCTCCACGCCTTTGATGTGTGGCTGAGTCAATGGCTAATCAGGTAGCATCAGGCCTAGTCCTCATTTCCCCTTCGCACCGGCCCCATTAGGGAGCAGGCTTTCTGGAGCAGGCCGATAAGGACAATATGTTCCTCTTTGGCACTCTCTCTTCCATATTTACCCTAAATCTTCCACCGCACTCTCATTCTTTCTTTTGCTCATTCTGCCTTTTTGCCAACTTTTCCCCTTGCTAAATCTCCAGCATTTCCTCATCCCTCCATCTCTCATTCTACACATCACAGGCTTCTCTCACCTTTCTTTAACTGTCCCATTACTCTCCCTCCTCTTTTCCCATCTTAGCGTCTCTCCCCTCTAAATCACACACTACACTCCATTCCTTTTGTCAGTCTCCTTCTCCATCTGTCTCTCATTTTGCTTTCCCACATCATTCCCAAACTTATTTCCTAAATCCCCAACAGCATTCTTCTAGCCTCCTCCTTCACTACTTCCTTTTCTCTTCCCCTATAGTCCTTAACTCTTCCATTACAACTTTTCTTTTCTGCTCTCTTAAATTGCCTTGTAATCTCTTCTTCCCTCCAGGTTTCCTACTGTCTTAAACTGTACCATTTCCCCCACTTCTTCTCACCTATAACTTTACTCCTTGAGGGAATATACCAGTTTTTTTTAAACTGCCCTTATGGTCCATTTAAAAGATGGAAACACGGACACAAAAATCTATCATATGTCTCCAGTTGCTACAGTACCATACTCCATGTTAAAGAATTTAAACATATACATGACCATTACTACATTTGTAATGGAAGGTAGTATATTTAACCAGATTATACTTCTTAAGATGCTAGTAGTGTATATCCTTATACTGTATAAACCTAGATGTTGTGATCATGAAACTGTCTTGGTTATTGGAATATCCAAATATATTGTCAAAATATTGATGATCACCTTTGCCAGTCATGGATGTGTTTGGGAAACAGAGTACTGTAGCTTTTTCTTCTTTCCCTCATTTTGACTGCACCACAGTACTTTCATGATCCATTTATGAGCTAAATGTATGGTTTTTAAGACCCATATTCCAGATAATGGACAATTCATATTATTAAAGGAATGCTCCATATTCATTTAGAAATGGTGCTGCTATTTCTAGCTGGAGAGAGGAATTTGTTTTTACTTCTCTGTACATGTTTGTCTGCCTGCACTTGTCTGTCACCTTGTTGTGTGAAAATGTGCTCTGCAAACAAACTTTTCCCCCCAAAAAACTGTGAGGACTGTTTAAATTGTCAACAGAAGAATGTGGGTTCATGCACCATTACAATGAATCCCTCCCTGCTCCTGGGTACTATAGAGTGCATCCTTCCTACAGGGATCATGAGACTATCACATTAGCTTACAAATTATTACAACATTATAGTACTAGCTCTGTTCATCTATCAGTCTAAGTGAGTATACTGCAGGTATTGTAGTCCCTGCTTTCTATGTGTAAACGCCCTTCCAGCTTTATCCCTCGCCTCAGTTCAATAATGTTTCTATACTTTTTTCATTCTTTGCATTTCTCCATGTCATTTCATGTTTCACGTGTGTCTGATTTCAAAGCTAGGCATAAGAAATTGATAACAAAGATGCACTGTTCACAATGGTGGTTGTCAAACAGAACACTGGATATTACAACTATTTAAAATGTCACTAAACTACTAGAAAACCAGATACAAAGAAAATCATTACTTTGCCAATTAGGAAGCAAGATCTGATCAGTCAGCCTGACACAGAGGCACTGTACTCTCACTCTGCAGCAAATCAGAGTTGTTCTTGGAATCCAGTATGGAGGACCACTTCTACAACAAAAGCTCTGGCAAAACAGAGATACTAACTGTTCTGTCAGGAAATATCTCTTCTCTTTTAATTAAGTTTAGTTATGGGTACAGTAGCCAAATAAGTAGTATTGGTCATAGCTGCTTCATTCCTCTGGGATATTTAAGCAAAATAATAGCTGGCCATGGGGTTTATGTTTGTGGGTTGGTTAATATACATAAATATGAATTTACCAAAGCAAGGAGTTCCAATCAGGGCAACACAATGCAAACAATGTGAAGTATAGTTGTTTAGACATATTTCATGAACTATATATTTTATTCTAATGCAGCTTTTGATTACAGATCTTGCACATAGGGAGTTTTTGTTTATCTGGATTTTTTTTCTTTCAAATGCTACTGTTTCCTGTCTTTGTCAGAGATTAATACCCGTTGCCTGTTTGCATCTTTATAGGATATAAGCCTAATTTTATATTTTAATGTAATCATAACTCAGAAGTTACAGTAGTTGCATAACATACATAAATACAGTAACACAGATTGAGCCGCTTGGGTCCCTAAAGAGCGGTGCAAAAGTGATTTTCCTTTCAGTAAACAGTAAAGTTAAAGTGGAAATTAAACACAGGATTAAGTATGACTGTAAAGGCCATGCATTTTCTATAGCTTAAATTCAACTGCACCAACAAAACAGCTGTACAGTCTATACACTTAACTGCATAATAAAAACCCACCTTCTTAAAAGTGAAAGTGTGTGAATTCCTTTTTCTGAGTGACCTAACTTTTAGAGGTGACACCCCACCAACAATCCTGTCAGTTTTATCTCTTTCTCACCCTCTCTTTGCTATTCTGCCATTTTCTGCTGGTGGTTTGACAGAATTGTGTCTCCCATTAAAAGGTACTACAGTAAAAGTGGCACAATACTGGGCTGGTCACAGCTATGCAAAGCATTTTTCACATGACAACAGGGCTAGTCCTGGTGTCAGACACATACAGTAGGTTGTCATAATATGACAATTTGAGAAAAGGAAATATGTATAAATTTCTTTTTTCAAATTTCTAAATTGAAGGTTTTTGTGGTAATGTTCTTCCTTCACACATAATCTTTATTGTATACAGACTGATGCATCTTATGGATGTAACAGCTGTCTGTATGGGCTGTAATTTGATTTTAGTTTTGCCAGAATTGCACAAAACATCACTTTTATTAGTTATCAGTTCTAGGTAAAGTAAAACAAAAAATCTAATTAAAAATGCAACCTGATTTTTCTTCATTTTTGTAACTTGAAGGAGTTACTTCAAAACCCTTACAGTATATACTGAATTTAGCAAAATATAAGCGATATAACTTATAGTATATACTTACAGAAAGGGTTTTAGATTTGTTATAAATGTAAAACCTCTGTAAGTAATGTTTCTAGGTGGCTTTACTATCATCTTTGTGAACTGCCCTGGTGCGGTCTAGCTCCACCCATCTGGTACACCAAGTTGGTCAAAACAAACATTAAGAAGCAGTTCAACCACTTACAACATCAGCTATGAATGCAAGCTTTGTGTTTGATTATTAGCATGGGCAACCATACAGAGACCTACAGGGAAGCCCAGACTGGCGCTGATACCACACACACACACACTGAGCGCAAGCACCACAACTGCTTGAACATTGTCCCCAAAACGCTGTAATAAGTCCTATGATGATCAGCAGCTACTCTGTCTCTCTTTCTCTATTTCTCTTGTGGTTGAACTGTTCAAACTGTTCACAAACGCTAATTTGGGATAAAAAGAAAATACTGACGTACAGTATTTTGCTGGTTTACCACAGTTTCCCAAGGGACCACCCATACAGCAAAGTACCACGCATATTCATTTGATAAAATTAGGCTTGGAAGGAGCCTGCTCTCTGCTTTTTGTCTTTGTAAGAGAAGAGCTCATGGTGTGGAAATTAAGAGGCTGTATGTTCTTATGTGTGCATTTATATTTGTGTGTGTGTGTGTGTGTGAGAGAGAGAGAGAGAGACAGTGAGAGAGGCTGACTAATCCCTCTGCAGAGCTGAAACTAGTTAAAAAACACATCAAAGGGAAGCTTAACCTCTGTGAAACCTCAACGGGTTTTTAAGAACAACAAATGATCATTCTCCTCATTGTTTCCAGGGGGACTCTTTTCACCGCTGCGCTGCTGACTTTTTCCTCAATCCAGGGAGTTTTCACAAAGACTGTGGTTTCATTTTTAATGACTGTGCTGTTTGTGTAAGTGTGTATGTGTTTGTGAAAGAAAATAAGTGTGTGTGGATATGTGAGCGGGTGCATGTGTGTTTGCACATAAAAGAAGGGTATTTTTGAGTATGACACGGCAAATAAGGAAAACCAAGCTAACAAGGACATGCAGTTCTGCTTGAAATCATTAAAATGTATGACATCCTGACCGGCTAGACAATAGTATGTATATACAGAACCAATGAAACATTACAAAAAAAAAGGGGATTGGAAGACAGGTGGGGGAGTGTGGGGGACAGGTGCTGGGGGGAGTACATTGCTAGAGGAGGTATAATATGGGAGCCAGTTACGGTCTGAGATTTGTCTTCCCCAGAATTCTAATTATCACAATAGAGATCTTTTTGTTTAAGTTACAATATTTGCATACTTCTTGCCATGTTATGGCTTGTGTGAATGAGCAGTGCTCTTGTTTCACCATTACACGAGTCACCTGCAGATGTGCATGGAACGACAGCAGGGGGAAAGTGCAACCTTTGAAAAAAAAGAAAATCAGTTGAACCTTAGATAAATTTGTCACAAAATGTAACTGATCACTCACAGTCTGCAGCCCTGCATTGGACTAATGACTGGACTACAGATTTGAGCTTGTCCCTCATAAAAAATGCATGAGGCCCCCTGGTGCTCGGGGGGCCCTATAGGCTTATATTGCCTATAGGTAGAAACGGCTCCCATGACAACAAGTTCTACAAGACTTTCAAAAATCCAGTGGGTCCCCACCCACAACTGCACATGAACTTTGTGGTCAAAAGCTAGTTAATAGAATAATCAAAATGCAATTGGTTTTTCTCACTGATAGTCAAAGTTAAACAAGGAATATATTACAAATTACATGGTATGGATTGCTAACATGGTTTTATTTAGGTATTCATTTCAGGGGCTTGTTGGTGAGGGGGGCATTACGCTACAGTATATGTGTTGTATTCAAGTAATTGTGTGCCAATTCAAACATCATTTGAATATTATTTCTGGAAAAAGTGACAGTCCCATTTCACAACCCATAAGGATGTTTAATTTGTTAATGAAGATAGTCACATGCACATTTGCCATGGCGTTCACAGAAGGCTCCACTAGCATCTCTTTACACTTTTTTATATTGAATGGTCTAAGGTTAAATGTCACTGCTTGCTGATTGGTTTCAAGAGCACAATGTGAGAGGCTGATTTATAAGATTTACAAGCTGCACAAATGAAGATTTGTACTTGAGGGTGTGAATTTGTGAAGTACAAGATAAGATGTACAGATGTGAATTTAGTTTGTTGCTCACAAATATGAAGATAAAAGTGTATTTTTCATTGGAAAAGCCATATTCACATAAGTAAATCTTTCAAAATGTGTAAGTAATATTTGCACCGTTTTCACTCTGTACTCATTTCCAGCAACAGAAAAATGAGCCGACACTGAAGTCTGGTCTATTTAGTTCATTTTGCAATTAAATTAAACAAAATAAAATTTGTGTAAACATAAGAATATTTTAGTACTTAGTGCTACAGTTTTGTTGTGAAACAAAATATTATTAACCTTACATGGCTTGAAGCATTGCAATATTTTAGTGGTGCAATTATTTGTTATAGTAAAATGTGTTAGACTTTAAATTTATAAAAAGTAATTTTTTTTAAAATACATGCCTTTATAGTAGCAAAGTTATTTCTGTGTTGGTTTTTGATGATTTGAGGAAATTCCATCTGGAGCCCCTCTCTGGCAAAAAGCGCCCAGGGACTTGACTTTGACCTGCAGGACATTAACCTCAAACTGAGCAAGCTCTCTGGTGAGCAGCTGGAGGTCAGGAAGTCAAGACAGGTCAAAGTCTTCAGGGGGCTTCATTTGGTCAGATTCATGCTAGTCCTCCCAGACCAAGCACCTTCCAGAGAGGAGGAGACAGAGCAGTCTGCAGCCGGCCTTGTCCAGAATACTTCACCCAAAGCTTAGAACTCATCTAACCTCTTTGGTGCACCAATATTTAGCCTGGTTTGGGTTAGAATCCCATCAGTATCTCCTGTCAGGGGGTCCAAGCTCAGGGGATGAGGGAGGTGGCGCGATGAAAGAACATGGTTGGAGAGACAAGGTCGGTGGCAACCAAGGGAGAAAAGGAGGTGGATGGAGGAGCAGTGAGGGGAGGTGGGAGAATGAGGGAGCAGTCGCTCAGCTCATCTGTGTGTGGACATCTCTTCTACCAGCCTCCTGCGCAGCTGTTTATTCTCCCTGCTGAGGGTGTTTAACTGGGGAAAGAAAGAAAGAGACACTTTGAGACATACGCACTAACAAAGACATATACAGACAAACAAAATAGTATTTTGAAAGAAAACCTTCATGTGTGACCGTGAAGGGAAGGGGGAAGGACAATTTTTGGGGAAGTTTCAAGGAAGTTAAAACATCTCACTCATTATAAAACTTAATTTAATGTTATCAAAATATGTCAGCCATCAAAAGTCAACAGCTATCATGTTGATGAAGTAGCCAACATTTCATTATGCGCTTAATTCATCTTTCACAGTTGCTTTCATGCCTGCTGAAACAGAAATACAAATGGAAAATTGCGAGGGGGTTTTCAGGAGCATTGTGTTCACAGTATGAAACGGTTGCAAGTGGAAGTCATGCGACGGTGTAAATTTGTACATGAAAACAACCAATTTGAGCGATCATTAGAGGCTGATTTGACACAAAATCATCTGTGACACAAAACAAATCGTAAATTGTCAGAACATGACTGGGGTCTCTGAAACACAATTACAGACTGGCCAAATAAGGAGTTTTTAAAAATATTTTTAACAGGGACATTTGGACAAAGGCAGCGAGGAGTGAGTTAAAATGTGGTTTTAAATGCAAAAAATGTAAAAAAAAAAAAAAAAAAAAAAGCATTTGCATTTGCTGTAAAGCGAGGTAAATGTTTTCAAATTGTGCCAGTTAAAATTGTAATAAGGCAGATAAAGGAGAACAAATGATTTAAAATAATGTATTTTTAGTTATGAAAAGGGTAAAATAAAAAACAAGAAACAGAGACACATCGGGTAATGACAGCCGTACTCATCCGCATCTGTTTTTGAGCGTATGTGTCTGTGTGAAAGCTGCAGTTACAGAATGATGTCACATCGACATGTCTGGCCATGTGTGAGAGAAAAACACAAGCGATGAAATATGAGACAGACACATTTCCAAATGGTTCCATAACAATAGCCTTCCAGACATCATGCACACGCGCTTGTTTTTATTCCCTGTGGGGATTTTACACTGACTTACATTCATTTTCTGAAGACACACTCTAACCTTAACTGTAACCACTACTTGCCTAACCCTAGTCCTTACTCTAACCTAAATCTGCCTTCCATCTGATCCCCATGAGGAAGGCAAAGTCTCCAAAATATGAGAGTGTGAACAGGTTTTGCTCCCCACAGTGTGAGTAATAGATGTGCACAGACCCAGTAAATTTCAGCAAATGTAACATATCTGATGAGTAGAAATAGCTGGGTCTCAGGCTTAACCCTGGAAGAGCCAATGACATGTTGACACGTCTTAAGACGCTTAAAGACTTTACTATCTACAACAAATTCTTTTTATGTTATGCCAAAAGCAATAACATTTTTAAATGAAAAACACTGACATTTATAATTAACTGTATATTCAGGGGGACCTGGTTAATTTTCCCAAGCTTTCTCTGGATGCTTTCCTAATTGCAAGAGAGCAGGGTGAAATTAAAAATCACATCTTGTCTCCTCAACCTTCACAGTGGGTGAATCGGTGCGCATATGTTTGAATGAAAAGGATGAAGTGGAGGAGAATGAAAGGAGACAGGCAAGGAGGGGGAGTGTTTGTACTTTTTCATTAGTACAGCTCAATTCCATTCAAGTATTTTAATGCAAAGTATGAAAATGATGAAAAAGCTAGAAAAACTGAATGGAAACAAACAAAAAAAAACTTTTAAATGTGGTTTGAGAATCTAGCAGAGTAGTGAAAACCCAGCAGTGCCCAGCTGACCCTTTTTTACTTCCGGGACTAAAAACATGATGGCCTTTGGAGCTATTTTTTTGACTTAACACCAACCCACACATTTTGTAAGGAAGAGACATGGTGCCCAGTGCAGTGGTGTTGCTCACTGGTGTGTTTTTGAAAAAAAAAAATTGACAACAATGAAAGTCTACATCGCCTTAACAGATTGGGGATGCCAGCAATGTTACATATCCCATGTGTGAAAAGGGCTTCAGTTTCCATCTTTCTCTGCTCCACCTTCCTTTGTGTCAACATACAGCTAATGCCATTTGTTTTTCACTGAAACAACACAACTTTAAACATCAAACAAGCAGCACCTTTGAGCGTTCCCTATCAGTGAGCCATTCCACAAGCTAACAAAAGTCTGGCGAGCAGGTCCCCAGGTCCTGGAGTTTGGGAGAACTGAGGGGGCTGAGGAGTACTTTTGATTTGTCTCTCTTTTGGTGATTTGTTGACTCTTGTGAAGTTCAACACAGTAAAAAAAATGTCAGCTTTTCCTCAGAATATTCCTCTGTGTTTCCCCCCCCCGACATTGTTTTATCACAGCAGGCCATTTCCCTATGCTGTCATGGAGAGATCAGCATGGCTGTATTGATATACTTCCCTCTCTCAGTTTCATGAAAGGGAAATCATTTACCAGTGGAAAGAAACGTCACTGCTTTTTCCCAATACAATTTGTGCCCCCCTTCTCCACACCCGCACACCCCCACCCACACCCCGCTGCCGACTTTTTACTTTTATCGTAGGAAGAGGAAATGGATGTCTGTGTGTGCCAGTTTGTAAGTGTACCTGTGTGTTTGAAGTTGGACGCATGAAAGCTTTCTTTTCTGTGTGAGCTCAACAGCAGGTGGGCTGTTGTGTGGATGTGTATTTGTACCTGTCAGGTAAAAGGACTGTCAGGACCTGGCGTATGTGTATATGTGTGTATGCTCTTACTTGTTGATTTAGCATTCCGATGGCCTCCAGGTTGCTTCGCAGTCTGGTCTGCATGTCCTCGATTATGCTGAGGTTTAAAGCAACACAACCCTGGTTTTCCATGCTGTAACACAATATGGATATGTACACACACAAACATGTATCAGAATTGAACTTCAATGTTTCACACTTTCCTCTATCATGGTAAAAAATGAAAAACTTTTAAACTACAGTGTTTTTGTACAGTGATATACATTTGCCTGGCAAAACAGATTCAATAAAATGTGAAAATTTGGGGCATAAAACAGTTGCTGTACTTTTTCATTATAACCATCTTCATCAAACAAATGGGCAAATGGGTTCCAGAAACCATTAAATTACATATAAAAACACATTTAAAAAAAAAAAAAAAAACCCAAAACCCCCCCCCCCCCAAAAAAAAAAAAACAACATAATGAACACAACCACAGCCAGGGAGCATTAATAGTACAAGAAGCCATTTAAGATTTTAAATGTTTATTAAAAGCATTTTGGGAAATGACAAACAAATGTTATGTGCTGCTACCGTATATTCAGACCCAGGGCCGACTAAGGAATGTATATTAAATTAACGATGGTGGATGATGGTGCTCTGTACGGGCTGAATAGTTTGCTGCATCCGCTTTATGCTCTTTCTTTCATGCCCCAGTAAACCTGTTCAGTTAGCATTTTGGGGAAAAACACACACAAAACTACTAAATACTTCACTGAAGTCGTTTTAGGCCATTAAAGTAGCACCGCACCTCCAGAGTGTTAATTTTCTTGTAAAAGAGCAAGCTAGGATTTTCTATCACAAAAGTGGATGGTGGAGACTAAACCTAACCCCAACTATAAAGGCTACCTGTCTATCCACAACCCTTCCCCCGACCTTAATCAAACTTGGTCAAAAGCATCCCAGATGCGGCATCCATCAAAAATAGACTAGATGTGCATTTTTAGTGAAGCAGACCACATGTGGGATGGAGGGGAGACGGAACACAGCCGGACCCAGTGGAATCAAAACCACTGACTAAACTGGCGGCAATTAGCTCCGGCAACCCGACCACGTCACAGGTGGAATGCAAAGCAGCCGCATCCAGTGGAAATGAGGAGTAACACCAGGTACACATACTGTACATGCGTTTGTGCAGCTGTCTTTGTGAGGACACTCATTATCATAATGCATATCTAAGCTAACTGAAAACAACATCTAACCTTCAACCAACCTTTGAAATTGTGTCGGAAAGTGAAAATCGGCTAAAATATCCTAACTTCCCCAAATCTCCATGTATGCCAATGTATTTGTAACCAAGACCTCAACCACAACACAAGAACAAGAATATAAATGGTGACAGCAACACCTAAACTGTAAATCCAGTCTTCTGTTCCAGCAATCTCTTGGCTAGAATTTCTCTTTTGGTTTTCGTTTGGAGTAATTTTACAAAATAATGATGACACAAAAAAGGTTATTAAGTAGAAATGCTGAAAATTCTTTCAATCTTTTAAATTGTAAATGGTTTTTAAAAGTTTAGTTGCATGAGTTGCCATTGCTACCGTGAAGGAAAAACAGGAGGCATGAACCTAAAGAACAAGCCAACTCCATAAAACCCACTGCTCCACAGCTTCTTCATGTGATTTAAACTCTTTCCTAGATGGTAATCTGGTCTTCAGTAGATCATGAAACATCACCAACAGCTGTGTGAGATTTATGTACTTGCTATGTGAAGGCAGCGATGCGCTGAGCGCTTGGCACGATGCCCGTGGAAACATGTGTTCCTGTGTTTACACGCAAACACAGATGTGTGTAATTAGCGGCTTAACCCAATCAGTGTGTGTATAATTACAGTCATTAGTGTCAAAGCCAAGCTGTCATGCTCTCTAAACCAGACAATAAACTACATGGTTCATCTCTTGCCCCAATCTCACTCTTATCTTTGTTATTTACTGCTCTCATATTGCTGTAAAATTTATGCAAGACTTGACTCCCTTCTCACACGGTCTTGTTCTTATTTTCTCTTTCTGTTTCTCTGCCGCTGTAGTTCTCTGTGTTTGTACAAATCTTCTGCTGTGATCACTGGGTGCTCTTAATTGGAAGCACATCATTAGTGGTGCAACTGATGAAGCCTGATACTTGATGAGAGCGTCCCTCAGACATGCTGTGTCAAACAGTCATTGTGTCAGCGCCGCCGGCAGCAAACAGCATCAATCTCTACTTCCTCCTCTCATTTCCATGTGCTTTGGTATTTTGTTTTCAGATATTATTTGATAGTATTAGTGAAATGTGAATTTTGATAATAGATGGCTTAATTAATTAGAGATACCCAGACTGTTACTTCAGATTGTGCCTTCACTCTGTAATTAGGACTGAAACCTCAAAGTTTTGTTAGTTTTCGCTCTAACATAATGTAGTTGTAGTGCTCTGTTCCTACTCTGCTGATGGGGACTGTGCATTATGACTGAAAAATCCAGAGCTACTATACCTCATGGTGACATTATCTCTTCAACTGTCACTACTATTAAGTCAAGTCAAATTTTATTTATACAGCCCAATATCACAAATCACAAATCAGCCTCAGGGAGCTTTACATTCTGTACAGCATATGACACCCTCTGTCCTTAGACTTAGAGACTCACTTCTGATAATATTTTATGCTCCATATTGTGACACTGATGGAGCTAACACAGATAATCAGACAGTACTAGTTTTGACTTTGATTTACATCTTTGTACATGTTTCAATAACTGAAAATAAGTAAATAAAATAAAATATAAAAGCAAAAATGCTAATTTTGCATACACTGCCAGTCAAAAATTTGGACACACTTTCCAAATATGGGAACGTGTGTCCAAACTCTTGACTGGCACTTCATTCATTCATTCATTCATTCATCCATTCATTTATTTAAAGGTACACCCCTAAATTTAGCAACAGACACTTCTTTTGCTCCTAGTACACATTTTCTAATGCAGAGGTTTCTTTCTCAATCCTCCTTCTTCACCTTTCTGTGGCTTTACTCATACAAAATGGAATCCGGCTGCTTTGGAAAAGTAGGCCATGTATTCATAATCAATTTCTTTAATTAAGACATATGTGATGAGAAAACTCTCATGCTGTGTTGATTGCCGTCAGTGACGGTGACAGTGGAGCGGCACTGCAAGGTGTCCCCTTTTCCACCAGTAATGCAGTTTATACACTGACTGTATATGGCTGCCATGAAAATATCATGACACAGCTGTCGCCTCACTGATGTATGTTTCTCATACATTTTGGGTAGGTAAGTGTGGTCGGATACAATGATGAAATAAAATGAATTAGGAATCTGCATAATAAAGAAAATGGGAAAGAAAAAAGAATAGATAGGGAGACACTGTGGAAGAGGCCGTCATTTGCTGTTTTTATCTCATTCCATGTTATTATATTCACTCAATCAAAAGCCCTCTTACGCATACATCTATATGAACTGCCTGTCTCACTCTGTCCTTCTCACTCGCTCATTCGCAATTATAAGGGAAAGACAAAGAAAAGTGATTCATCTTTCTGTCGTAGCCCCTTAATGATATCATTAAAATGACTGACAGCTTTGAATAAAATTGGAAACCTACCACAGTCAAAACAAATCTGGTCCATTTTGGAAACGAGCCTGGTGGTTTGTTAGGGTAGGAGTGCAACATCTGTGTGTGCATGTGTGTAAAGCAGGGCGAGGTGGGGGAAGGGGTGGAAAAGAAGGAGGAGTTTTAATGACGAGGGTCTTGAGGGGGGTCATGCTGGGGGTATGGGGAGCACTGCTGCAGGCAGGTGCCCTCACAAACACCCTCCTTTCTCACTTCCATCCCACACACAATCCCATCTGTGCCACATGCGTTTTCATTGCCTTAGTGAACATAATGAATATATCTCCTCTTTATTGATGAATGCTATGTGACAGCCATGGGGGTGGCAAGCAGGAGAGGATGGGTCCTTGATTGGAGTGTAATCATTGTTATAGGCCCAGCATGAAAATATATTCAGACTGAAGAAGAGACATAACATGCACACAAGCACACACACATACATGTCTCTTTCAGTAGTTGTGAGGGCCCTCATTGAGATAATGCATTCCTTAGCCCCTTACCCTAACCTAAGCCTAATTCTAATTTCACTAGTTAAACCAAGATTTAACCAAGACTGTATCAAACAAAACTATGCCCACAAGACATAAAGACATCTACACACACTACGCGGGTAAACACAGGTGGTGTTTTATTCACAACTTGGCACTCCTGCTGTTATCACCATCATCAGCTTTGCTGGGGCTAGAATGTGTGTGAAAGAGCGCAACATGGTGGGCAACACTTTTGTTAGATGTGAATGCTAAACTCTGATCAGCTGATGGATGCTCACAAACGCGCACACTTATTTGTACTGTCACAGCCGCTCACACACACAAACATAGATGACTCACATTCTCTTGTCTTGCTGGATGCCCTCATCCCGGATCTGGGCCTGCAAACAATTGTAAAATGAAAAACAAAGCTGTTTGCGATCTACTCTCTTTTATCTCTTTGGAGTTCATTGCGTTTCTACTCCGCACTTGTTCACCTTGAAGTGTTCCACGTCTCTCTCCTTCTCATCCACCATTTCTTTCAGTCTCTTTACCTCTGCCTTCAACGTGTCATTAGCTTCCTGAAGATGTCTGACAAAGCAAGGAAGATACAGAGACACAGGCAGACACAGAGAAAGACAGATGCCTATTATCATCAAGAGACTCTTGTTAACATGGCAGACAAAATCTTTTGCCATGCAGATGCAAATGTGTTTGTGTTTCCCTGCCTTCTTTAAACAATATGTCTGACACAAAAACACACACACACATATATATATATTGTCTATTACAATGAAAGTCTGTATTTTCACAGACATTTAGTATCATTTATCCTTGTGGCTATTTCAGAATTTTGTTATGCCACCAATTCTAATCATGACTTTTAAAACAAATTGTCATTTGTATTTTCTTTTCATTTTATATGAGAGGAAGTAAAATTATTGCATTTCTGTATATACTGGGAAGTATGAGGAGAAAATGTTCTATGATACACGACATCATGTGTTGCAAGTTTATAAATGGCTACAGGTTACCATGGCAAAACATAAGACACAAAACACATAGTGCAAGTTGAGATAGAGAGAGAGGAAAAAGCAGACACACACAGACGGTTATGGTGCTGCTGGGCGGGGCTGAAGGAGGTATGGCGCTGCAGGGGGTGGGATGACAGGATACGGCTAGACAGCTTTGATCTCTGGAAAAAGGAATATGTCCTGCCCATGTCTGTGTGTGCTGTGTGTGTGTGTGTGTGTGTGTGTGTGTGTGTGTGTGCGTATTTGTGTGAGTCATGAAGATTCAGAAATAGTGTCAGGTGTAAGTTTGTCAGAGAGTCCACCCGAATCACTCAAACACATGCACAGACGCACACGTTACTTAGACAGACACGCAGTATAATCTCCAACTCTCTTCTTGGTGGGAAAGGTGACCTAGTTTACAGGTGTAGCAGCTGGCTGAGCTGCTTTTTCTCATCTTTAGTTATCTTTACTGAACTAGTACACTTCACAGGATTGAGACACACACACACAGACAGATGCCCACACACAAACAAAAATGCCCTCATTGATATATTTTTGGTCCTAAAAGAAAATACTCACCCTTTCTCTTCAGTGACAATGAAAAGCACCTTGTTTTGGACCTTCATCTGAGCAGCGAGGCTCTCATTGGCAGCCCTGAAAGAGGAAAACAGACTATAAATAGACAATAAAATGCAGCAGACTAATACTTCAACATTTTTTGTAAATAAATCTAGTGTTTTATTTAACATGTATATATGTAAGATGTATTTACAATTAATAAAGTTAAAGTGTGAAACAGCACAGACACAAATAATATTTCTAATTACATGGCAGACATTCTATCAACCCAAGATGAATTCTCCTATTTATGATTACTTCATATGTCTATGCAATGAATGAAAAAAAAAAGAAAATAAAAATGTCACATTGTAAGTGTATTCATACTTTTGTTCAGTAATCCAACGACTGACATTAGTCATGACCAGCTGGCTCTCATGGCGCAGATTTACGTTGGCTGACTGTGTCCCTTCTATCTCCGACTGGAGTGTGTTCACCTACAGCACAGTGAAATATTATCTACCACAATGTAAAGAGTCAAATGGCAAAAAATCCGAATGTTGGAAGGCCCACATTTACTCCATTGTTCTCTGTTATTCTTAAGTGAAAACAGATTTGGAGCTTTCTTTGAAGGCAAATATTAATATAAAATATTTGCTTCTCACATTTTGATGGGTTTAAGTAAGTCTCTCACTAAGTAGTTCCCTGTACAGACACACACACACAGTATAAATGTGGGATGGGGCAGCCAAAGATGTAAAATACGGACAGTAAAAAAGGGGATAAGTGAGGCTCTAATAGATGGCAAGCAAAGAAAGGGTGAAAATAAATGTTAAAAATAGAGCATAATAGCAACACAAGAGAGAAATTAGGTAAATGGAGAATAATGGAGGATGAAAGAGAGTACATTTACAGGCGCAGGTATAAATAGCAAGGCGAGGTATTAAGCAGGTGTAACAGAGGGAAGATGGAGAATGGGGGGAGAGCAGAAGACTGAAGACAAGATTAGAGAGGTGAAAACAGATGGTGGGATGGGATGGCACTGCCAACCTGCTGAGTTTTTTCATTCTGCTTAACAGTCAGGACCTTTCCAGGCCTAAACTCTGGGGACCCTGACACATTAGTCTTATCATCATAGAAACACAATGTCATACAATACTACAATATCAGTCTACTACTTCAGACTTCAGAAAACATGAAAGTTTAAAATATGTGGGCCATGATTAAAATATCCAAATATATCAAAAAATAGTTTTGGTTTAATCTGAGAAAAAAACTGCTTCCAATAATTATCAGGCTTCCTTTCATGTTCTCTGGCAAAGTTTATGCATGCAGTTTTGTGAGCAGTCACTGAAACAGCACCTTCTACAGATAAACCTGGTACCAAGTAAATGTTCTTATATAGTGCTTTTTCTACACACTCAAAGCACTTTACAATATTTTCCATTCACCCATATACAAGGGCACACTGGTGATATCACTGGGAGCAACTAGGGCTTCAATTTCGAAGGGTGCTTCAAAATGTGGATTGGAGAAGCCAGGACTCGAACCATTAACTGTCCAGTGAGAAAACAACCCTCTCTACCTCCTAAGCCAAAGCCACGCTGAGTCACAACCATTCTCTGTTTTTCAGTGCAAGGTTAAGTAAACAGCAGCTTGTGCATGGTGTCATTTCTCGTATCACTGCTGCAGCTGCTTCACCTTATGTTAGCCTCCTATAACCTTATTCATGCAATTTACTCTAGCTAGAAATTACATACACCTGATAAGGAAGCTGTGAAGATGACAGTAACACACAGTTTTGTCTCATGCACTGACACATCAAGCCCATCATGAGGAAGAAATAAAAACAACAACTCTGTATGTCGTTTGTGCCAGCAGGTTACGACAAACATGTTTGGTGACCGGAGCTTGTGTCTAGTAAGTTAGGTGTTGTAGTATACAGAGCCGGCAAGTCCAGATTAGAAATAGGATGTGGTGGATGGCAAGGTGCATACAGTAAAAAAACAGGCCTTTGCCTCAGGTGTGCAGGGTTCAATCCCTCTGTCTGATGAGTGTTTTCAAGTAGTTTTTGTTCCTAAATCAAATTAAATACTTTGTGTGGCTAAACTTATTGACAACATGACAGTTTCATAATCGTGACAACATATTTATGACCGTTTCCATGACAAGAAAAATCTATAAAGCTTGCTGGTGTGACATATTTTATCGTTAATGTTGGCAGAGTTCCTGCAATTCCGCCTTTCAGCACAGGAGTGCTATTTCAAGAGATCCTCCCGTGGAGCGTATGAGAGGGAAGGGACAAATGACCATATGGGTCATATGGGTTGAAGGACTAGTAGGACACATCTTCATGCAAAGGAAGTCCTGCTGTTAACTTATTGGCCAAAACCCCTACATTAATACAGCAATTTAAATTATATACATATAAAAATCAACCTGTACCATTCCAAACCTCAATAATCATACATACTCACAATGTGTCTGCACACACCTCTACACGCGCAACCACACATACACGTACATACACACTCGCAGGATCTGTGGCGAGCTGTAATGACAGTAATTACCTGTGGTCTCACATTAAGAGCTCCCTCCTGACTGTCTGACTGGCTCGGCTGGTGGAGGGTTGTAAATCGCAGCGCAAGTCTGATGTTGTGATTAGGACTAAATTACACACCATCACTCTGTTTCCACCAGTGTCAAGGGAGGCAGTGAAAGGGTGTGTGAGGAGGGGGAGAGTGTGACAGAGGGGGAGGGACATTTAGAAAAAAGGAAAAATGACAGGAGGTGGGTGCGATCGCAGAAAGGGGGAGGAGTAAAGTAGAACACCTGCTTAACATTTAGATTGGTTTTGTTGCACAAATATTTTAGCACATGATGGGGGCTAAAAGGGGCAACAAAACGCATTTGGGACACACTTATAACCAAGTGTGGTGATATGACTGCCCCTTTCAGGTCTATGCTAGAGAATATGAGGTGACTACTGCAGCGCTGGAGAAGAATTTAAAATCTTTAGAACTGTTTTATTTATAATTTTGAGTTTATTTTATCAAAATAAGGCAGAATTGTCCAGTCCACAGCCAGCTTTTTACTGACAATAGATGCAAGATGGACAAACATTTTTTCTGAACTTATACAGTAACTTTCCTAATAAATCACAAAACATATACCTACACAGAGAAAAAAAAGACTGTGGGGACTTAATGGATTTAGGCAATTAACTGATTTTCTGGGGACTGATATTGCACAGCAAATTAGCTGTACAGGAAAAAAAGCACATTTTTCTGAAAACAGACCAAGGGTGTGGGATAAGCTTAAATCAAAGTGAACTTGGGTAAAGCGAGAAACATGAGGATGAGGGAAAAATCAAAAACAGTCTGGTGGTTACTACCATCACCATCAACCCAGCAGAGCTGAATATGAGCCATTACTCTGTTCCACTCAGCTCATCAGAGCACACCCTCTCATCAAATTAATGAACACATTTATTGTTAAACACATTTTTATAAAACATTAATTCATTCTGTCTAATTAAAAGACCCAACAGGCCTGACATCACTTAAATATGCATACTTATCACTCACAGGGTCTGAATTAAAGATCCACAAGTGTGCATGTGTGTGTGTGTGTATGTGTGCACTGTATATGTGCATATACAGTACGATACAGAAGAGAATGAGGTTTCCTAAGCAGGTCTTCTCACGCTAGGCTTAATGGTGATTATCATGGTGTGACCTAACATTAAGATATGTGTGTGTGTGTGTGTGTGTGTGTTTATGTGTATCCTGCTCACCCTAATGGTGACGATAATGACATGTTCACCATTAGACTAGTCAGTGGGCCACAGCAGATCTAGCATATTAATGATGCTGATGATGGCTTCTTTAATTACCTTCATCTGCTGCTGCATGGCCTGACTCCTTTCCCTGAGTCCTTTCATCACACACTGTCCTACGCATGCTGCTGGGTTGTTTTTCAGTAGCTGTCATTACTGAAATCCCCTATCTTGCATCTAGCCTGCATGAGCACAACAACATTACCGGTCTTGGTAGAAGTTTCTCTGCCACTTCCCAGCTAGATGAAGTTCCCCCATCAAGAGAAGTAACTATACTTTTATTCTGTACAGGAAACTTGACAAAGTGTGTAACTTTTGAGAAGTTTGGTTGGTTGTTTGTTTTGAAAAAGGGTGTTTTGCAGAAACAAAGTAAATCTTACAAAAACAGTTATCATTTTTAACAATACTGAGTCTTGGAAGGAGTTAAATTTGACGGTATTAGTCTATCAATTCTGCATTAGAAGGGCTTGGTTAGTTTTTGAGGTGGAAGTATAGTGCAACAGGATTACTGGCAAAAGATGCAAATGCCATGCAACTTATAGTATTGCTAAAATTGTTGGAAACCAACAACAGTAATAAATGTGGCCTGAATCAGAGGGATTCCCATTTGGCAGACCAGCCAACATTTAACTGTTCAGGTGAGCAGCCTACAAGCGACAACACAAAAGAACATTTTAGGTTTTTATTGCTAATGTATTTTTTTTAATAATGAGCTGATACAGCATGTCTAGAAAGGCTCTACCACTACCACCCTATTGCCAACTGTAACATACAATACTGACTGTGGCTTTCAGAAGTGATTTTTTAAAATAAAATGGTTAAAAACGGAATATGTAGCAATAGGAGGTATTTATACATTACACACAAAAAAATTCTATTAGGACAAAATGTGTCAATAGCAATAGATTTTGTGGCTAATGTTAAAGTGGAAAATAACTGTGCTGTACTTTCATAGATTTTCATTGTTATGTTATTAATCATATTATTTGGTTGTGAGAGAGAATGACTCTGAATAGGATGCCATTACACAGCTCTTTTTGAATCTGTGAAGATGATTTTAAACTTGCAGCTGGGAAAACTTTACTAAGTATAACATTGGCATTCTTATTTACCTTTTAAAAATTGGACAATGTTAAATGAGTGGCAAGTTATTTGTAAAGATTCATTTTCATCAATAGAACAAGTACCGCAACTGTCAGATTTGTGCCCTGAAACTCTTGTAATTTGAAGGAGAAGGATCGCACACAGACTTACTCCTTTCTCCTTTATTCCAGTGACATCATATAAAACCTAACCTCAAAGTTTTACCTCATACCTTCATCAGGAGTCAAATCAGGAACGTGAGTTCGAAAAACACTTCAAACACAATCAAACATCATCCTATTGGATAATTATATGCTTCAGTAATCAAATCATCATTTGTGTTGCCTGCATTATTATTCGCCTTTGTTAATTTTCACTCATTTTTCAAGTGTTGCAAACCTTGATCAAGGTCACAAACACAAGTAAATGAAAGTGAAGACTGAATGAAGTTACTTTACATCTTTCCAAAACTAACAAATTAAATACATATTTTTATCAGTCGGAGAACAAAAGGTCTCAGAAATACAACACTTTTATAATCTATAAAACAAAACTAGGTTTGACTTGAAAAAGAGAAACAACATTTAATATATTTTCCCCTTGTTCGCAATTTTCTGTATTTTCTGTTAAATTAAATTCATCGTGCCTTATATGTTCCTTCCATGAGTCTTTCCACATAACAGCTTTTCATGTTTTTGTACTGAACTCTTGCATCTGCATCCACGCACAAACACATGGACAGCCTTCTTTGCTGAAGGAATATAAGAGAGACACACAAAGTTATAGAGACATCATGAGGAAAAACAAAACAAATAAACAACAAAGAAAATGTGCTCAGTTTCTATACTCAGCTGTCCAACCCAAATGAATTACAGCTCGGTAGCCTAATTTTCTGTGATTGGCAATGATGGGACACAAGGACATACATATGCACATAAATTAAACAAATAAAAAGTCCATTAAATGGCTAACCACCTTAGACAACTGGAGCACTTCTCTTGATTCATCAGCTCAACAAATAAGCTTCATTTGTCCGTTCTCATTTTCCCATCATCAAACCTGTGTGTGTATATGTAAAAGCAGTGATCGAGAACGGGTCATTCTAAGCTAATTAGGCCAGGCCCGGGGCTTCTATCAGGTATAATGAGTGAGCTCAATGAACAGATGAGACCTTTCCAGAGACCAACTCTCTCTAGCATCACCAAAATGAAAATACACTCTCGTCTCTCTGATCACTAGGCAGACACCCCAATGACTGAGAGTGATTATAAACAACTGTCTAACTGTATTTTTTATAGGATGAATCAATAGTTGTAAAGATTTTGGACAGCTAGGAGAGGTTTATGATCATAAAAACACACTAATAAAATTGGGCTATCTGAAAACTTCTCTGTAAATTCTAATTAAAACAGGTTGAAATATTTTACTCCATGATGAGAGAAGTTGCTGTAAACACACTAATGATTGTGTTTGTGTATCTAATGTGTGTGCGAAGAGAGAGAATGAGGGAGAGGGAAAAGGAGAGTGGGGTGTTCTGATCAGTCACAACAACATGTCTCGTGTTTGCCATGACTTGTAGCTGAACTGGAGACATGAAGCAAGACAGGATCAAATGAAGCATGTCTCATGTGCATGTGGATGTGTGCGGCACACATGAAGGCAAATAGCTGACCAGAGGAGAACATGCAAATTCTTTTTTTCATATCAGAAAACAGACACTAAACAGACCCAGAAAAAACAAACAAGACTCTTTATGTACCACACACACACACACACACACACACACACACACAGTGTAAGATATACAGTACACACAGAAAACGACAGAGCTATCTGAGGTTCAGCTACTGTGCACTGAGGCAATTTGTAATATAGATTTCCTCTATAGGCCACTGTAGTGTACCATTTACCATTTCAAACCCTTTGATTTTTTTCACCAGCGGATAATTCATCTTCTTCTGGTCAATAACAGGGATTGGGACCTAATGAAGGAGTCCTAGTCAAAATGGTCGTCACACTGCCGTTTAAACACTTTTTGGAGTCCAATTCATTGAAAAGCTCATCTGTTGTTGAGATGATAAAAGACAGCAAGAATGGAAGAATGGGGAAGTGTTAGGGATTGTGGATGAGCGCAGGAGTCGGCCAGGAACCACAGATACTGCACTGTACGCACACACACACACACACACACACACACACACACACACACACAACCAAACTCTTTATTACTAAAAGTAGACTTAAAAATATTAAATAACTTTTGTTTTACTGTAAAGTAAATCCATTTGAAGGTTTTTATAAACAGTAATCAACTAAACAAAAGCCAGACTGGAGGTCCATGACTGATGCAGATTATTTATTTATTTATTTGTTTATTAATCTAGTTCATCAGTGTATTAATGCACCTAATAGGGGGTTGTGCTGGAACAGCATCAGTCTGAGGTATCAGTGCTTTGAAGGAATAGACTGATGTTATGGCAAATACACCCATTCGCCATGTTGCTGTAAGTGCAATTAGCAGATTAATACCACTCTCATATTAATTTGTTAAATATAAGGCAACCCAGCCAGTTAGCTTAGCTAGCATAAATTCTGGAAGCAGGGGGGAAACAGCTGGCCAGGTTCTGCCCGAAAGAACTGGGACTATTTCTTACCTCTGCTAGTGGTCTGGCATCTACAGGTATGTAGTGATGAAGAAGCCACTTTTCATCACCAAAAAATAGTCTTATATAACTGCCAGAATTTTGACCTTCTCATTTTTTACACTACATCTTTACAGATTAAAAAAGAAGGATAAAGGATGTTAATTTCTGAACTTCAAATGCGCCAGTATTTACATTTTCTTAACTCTGACCAGAGCCAGGTTTGATGTTTCACCCTGCTTTTAGTCTTTAAGCTAAACTAAGCTAACTAACTGCGAGGGCTGGATGATGTGTCAGTATAATTGCTGATTTTCAGCAAAATTCCATAACAATGATATTATTACATAATGTTATCAAAAGAACAATGTGTTAGTCAAATTTTTCAAAGAAGGTGTAAAAATAAACTAAACTGATAAGTAATAATAATTGGTTATTTAAGTTCTTGTGTGTGGCTAAAATGGTTATGTCATGTATAATGATGGAATACAGTTTTTTTGCCATGCTGTTGATATATAAATGTTGATATACAGTATGTCAATTAAAAACAATTTAAAGAAGTAGTTTATAAATAGTATATTGTCTGACTGCAACAATAACTAGCCAGATTTCAGTCCACAGAGTGCTGCTTGGCTATTCACTGACCAATCAACTGACCTAAGTCAGCGTCATAACGTTCCTGGATAATCACTATCCATGGTGTGCTAATGTTAAGACAAAAACAAAAAAGAGAAAAAAGATAGGCACATTATTCGGTTAGCATTTTTACAAGAGTGTACAAGAGTGCAAGGATAGTGAGTGAAAGAGAATGAAAAAGGAAAAGCAGAGGACAGAAAAAGAGAGCAAGGGAATGAAGAGAGAGAAAAAGACAGAGTAAAACACAAACTCAAGATCTGAGAGAGCATCACAGTGCAAGGACGTTAAGACTGAATTCAAAGTTTGCAGAATCTAAATGAACATCACTTCCCTGACCTGGCTTTACCCTTAATTATCCATTCTGCCTTTGTACAGCGGTGGCTCAGCTCTGACAACCGCTCTCCCCTGAGGTTCCTCTGCACTTCCAGCCAGAACATTAGGGAATATCAGGGAATATTACACTCAGGAATTAATGCTCCAAATCACCTTGCCAGGTTTAGGTCCCACATACAGCCCTCCCTCTGTTGGACAAGATAATCCAGGCTCTAGCACCGGATATATGCTATTAATCATCACAAATGTGGGGGGTGGGGGGGGTTTGGAGGACAACGGAGGAGCGGAAAGGAGAGGACGAGAGAGAAAGCCTTAACATATGTGTATTAGTTTTATGTAGCAAAGCAGAGCTGGCTCAGTATTTCTAGGGTAAGGTCACTGACAAAAACCACAACGAGCAGCTAACTACACTTAAATAATATGAAATGGTACAGTTGGTATAGCTGCCTGTGAGTACAGTTTTCCAGTGGTTCAGATGACCAACACCTCACTGGGGCAGTGCCCCGAGCCACTTTAAACAAACATTCTGAATTATTTGTAGAGGCTATATCACTCAGGTCTGGTGTGTATTTATTTACCTGCTCCTGTGCATCTTGTTTTTCTCTCTCTGCCTTGAGTTTCTGATCGACAGCTTGCTGAAGGCTCTTCCTGAGCTCTGCCACCTCTGTCTCCAGCCTCATAGAGATTGATCTGCAAACATAAACAAAAACAATGGAAGTTCTTTCACTAAAACAAGATTAATCTCTAATAAAAGGCAGTATTGGTCACATTTTATAAGTCATGCCGATATCTTAGATGTATTTATAAAACATTTCATACTTTACAAATGTCACATTCATTATTACCATAATTGCTCCTAATGAAAACATAAACAGATTAAAAGTAATATATTCCATAATTAGGATTCTTGAAAATTGGGACTGCTTAACGTAGGCCCAGAAAGTGTATGTGTGTGTATGTGTGAGTGTGTGTGGCAGCCAAGCTAAGGGAATGTGAAGGGGATCAATATGAAGGGGTCTATTCCTGCCACACAACTGTGCGTCTGTGTGTGTGTGTGAGTCTGTTAGTGGCTTTGAGTGTGTGTGTGTGTGTCCATTCTTGTGAGTGAGTTTGTGTGTGCCGGCTGCCCTGGCTACAGCGGGATCAATACGACAAATGATTACCATTTCCACAAACCTCCCTCCACAGCTTCACTTCAGCCGCTCAGTGAGCCTTAACATCCCTTTAACCCCCTTCACACTCATACGCCCCCCAAAATCTTGACGCACACCTCTAAAAGCAAATATAACAATGAGAAATACATAAGTTTATGTATAATAAGAGCATTCATGCTATAGATCAGGGGTCTTCAACCAGTGGTCCCCTGGTGGTCCATGAAAGCATGGGACGACCATGTATTCAGTAATGTAGTTTTATTGTGGGCGTTACTATTCTTTATTTATTCATTTTACAGCTTTATTTTTAAAACACATTTCCATGTATTAATTAATGCAAATATACAGCATTTAGAAAAGCCAAGGTGATTTTCTGGATTAAAATGGTGTTCATTTGGTCTGGTCACCCCACAGCTGTGGTCCTCAAGCTGCCTCAGAGTGGTGAAAACCCCTGCTATAGATTCATGAGCATTCATGTTATGGATTTAATACAGACAGCATTTTGACTATTAGATTTTGTGCTAAACTGACACTTACAGAAGTGTCAAAAAATAATGCAGAGCCCAATATTTACCCCTCTCACTCTATATATCAATTATTTTTTAAGGTTAATATTAGGCTATTCAAAGTAAAGAAAAACAGGGACCTCTCAGAAGTTAGTGTAAAATGTACTTTGTGCATAAAACCAAACTGATTATTGATTAAACTGACTGAATTCTTTCTTAATCTGTTAATCACTTCAACCCAAAGTGAGTAGTTCAAGTGACATTTTGTCTAATCAACTGTCAAAACCCCCAAAGTACTCGATTACTATATTTAGATGGCAAAGAGAACCACCAAATATTCACATGTGAGAAACTGGGACTGCAAAATATTTGGCATTTTACTTTAAAAAAGACTTAACCAGTAACAGCATGGAATTTTTAATTTTCTTTTCAAAGATTTAATACCTAAATTCTAAAACATATTAATCAAATGTATTATAGTTTACTATCTGTCTGTATATCAACACAGAGTATTTTACTGAATGTTTAAGCAGCGAACTTAAAACTGTTAATAACAGAGACTCTCAGTGGCAGCAACAAGCAGCCAAAACAAAAAGGAAAGAAGATGATAGATTGGTCCATGGACACAACACATGATAGGATGAACAGAGTAGGAGAGAGAAAGGAAAGAAAGTGAGCCGGGACTTTCCCACAGCACAGATGGAAGTCATTAGTATGGTGTTGTTGCTTAAAAACCTTTCATGTCTTTGCAGTTATTAAATAATACTGGGTTAACAGTAAACAGCATGAGCCTGCAAATGGATATAAGATGTAGACACAGCGACTGCTTTACCGACCAGTACCTAAAACTGGCTTAAATATAATAAATGTAATAATTCTAATGTAACCTATAAAGTCTCCATGCTGAGGTTTAAACTGTGACTTGACAATGAAAATGTTCCATGGCTCAGCTTAACCAAGAAACTCCCTGAGACGGAGACTGTTGCAGAGAGGTCATGCTGAAGCCAAAGCCACAACCACAACTATGTGTACACAAACAGAACACACAAAAAAAAAACACCCTGGACTGGGTGATACATGCTTGCTGATGTCATTACCGCAGCCCTGGTGATACACAGGGGTCAAGCAGGGGTCTCGCCTATGAACTCTGAACTCCATGACCTCACATCTAAATATCTACTGGGTCCCATCAACACACATTTTCTATAGGACAGAAATTATTTTCAGTTGACATGTTAGAATATTAAAATCATCAGAATTGATTATTTAATGCAAGATAGACCAAGATAGATGCAAGACTGTACATCTTCTTAAATAATGTATGTATGTATGTAGAGCTCAGGGATGTTCTGTTCAGCCACTGTACGCTGCATGTAAGAAGGCAAAATGTTTTTGATTACTGCGCTTACATGAGGGATGACGGAAAATGGGATAAGAGAGGGAGCTTCCTTCCCTCTCTCCCTTCTTACCTGATTTGTTCCTCTGCTAGCTTTCTCTCATTCAAGCACCCCTGCATCTGCTGCGCCTCCACTGCACAAGCTACCAACTCCTCCACTGAGCAGAAGAGACAGAGAAATAAAGTGTGAGATAAAAAGCAACAGTTCACTTCAGACACTTTTGGTGACAATTAATTACAGAGCAGGCTAAATTCAAATGGTCATGTAACAGAAAATAAAAGAAAAAAGATGTTTTCCATTTCAGACATTAATAAAGATGTCTCATAGCTCTTCAGGATGTGTTGATTTGGTTTGTATTGTATTTAAAAAAGTAAAGATCTACAGAGTGCTTCACATCTTCCAGCAGACCAAGGTTAATGGAATGATTAACAAAACATGCATACACAAAGGTGATTATTGATTCTTGTCCAGGTCAGCATGAGTGGGAAAATATGAACTGTGATTCGCCTTCAAAGCAAAACAAAGAACTCCACCACAGACGGAACACTGAATGTCTTTCAGAGGCGGAGAGGCAAGGAATGAACAGATTGCCCTGCTTCCACTTAGACGGAGAAGTAGTCCTTTTGTTGGGGGACAAAAGGAGCACTCCCTGATTCTGTCAACAGATGGCACTCTTTACCTTGAGCAGGCCACTTCCTACTCCTATTCCTGACTGCAGCCCTTCAAATACATTCCCTTTTCAGCCTTCTCTTCCGTCTACATGCAATAAAACCCCATTGTCCTACACTTAATAGTTTAGCACACTGAGCAGATGCATAATAAACCACTAGTCAGGTTCCTTGGCTAGGTTTGCTTTAGCAGGCCCTTTTCAGTTTGAATTTAAAATTTAGGATTTGCTTCCTTCCCCCCTCTTTTGTATGTATCCCGTTTTGTGAGTCAATGTTTTTTCATAGCTCTTAAAACCTTTTCACAAATTCAGTATTCATTGAATATAACATAAACTGTCAGCCATCGATGGCCAAGGCTAGTGAATATTGAGAAGGTGTGTGTGCTCCTAAGTATGGCATGTGTGTGTTTAATATTTTCAGAATGGCCCTTTGTGGGTGAGTATGTGTATTTTAGGGTGTGAAATAGAAACAGAGACATGTTTGGTGTAATGCTTTTTGGACCGTGCATCATGATGTGACAGATGGAACAGTAGAAAGCTAGAATAACAGAAAGAAAGAAATACCAAAAAGAAAACTGGCATTTAATAAAACTATAATTAATTTATGGTTTTGCAGCATCCAAACTGTTTAAACTGAAGCTCTAGGAAAACTGAAGCTGCAACTGGAGTTGTTCAATATTTAATGATGCACAAACATTTTTGTTTGTGTGTGTGTTTGTGTATGTAAAATACCTTGGCTATTTTACTGAAACTCAAGGGTGAGAGTTTGCTATGAATCTCAATAATCAATTAAGCAGAGATGTGAAAAGTTGATACTGGAAGCAAATTCGCATTCAAGGCATTACTTTTGAGGTGACCTCAGTGACACCTCCCGCCAGGGGAGGCCACAGAGAGAGCAATTAGCTGCATAGACTGACCGTTTACACAAACTCTCGTATTTGCACTCAAACACACCGAGGCAGAGGTACACACGCGCACACACACATATACGCAGCTGAAATGCACACAACTGAGTGAAAAGGTAGACATCTTGCTCTAGGACTTCAAATTTCTAATAATATAACAACAAATAGACCCATAAAAGTAAAGGAAAACCACAGCATAAGTAGACCAGGCATTTACTTTAGGCAAGCAGATACAATCAATGGTATATTTTGCTTAGTAGAGACTGATGACTGAATAGTGCCAACATTTTTCACTTTAAACAAAGATCCACAGAGGATTCTGGATTTCTCAGCACTCCATAGTAGCTTTAAGAAGAACAGCAGTCCCTATTCTGAATTATGGGACCTTTTACAACCTGTTTTTAGTGGCTTCATGAGTTAAGTTATGACATTAGTTCATAATCTCAGATCTTGGGTCCCTTATGCTCTCATTTTCTTGACCCTTTTATACTGGCTTCACAACTTAAGGTATGACATTAGTCCATAATCTAAATGTCTCCCTCTCTCTCTCAGTGCCTTCATAAGAACTTGAAAGCCCATCATACAGCATCAGCCTATAATCAACGATCTGCAGTCAGATTACCTCGCTCTCAAAGCTAACCTTTAACATGAGGAGGATGAAAACCTGGCTAACCCTGAACCAGTGGTTGGGGCTAGGCTGGGCCCAGCTTGGCCATCATAAAAGCTTCATAAAGCTTCATAGGGGCTTCCTTTGGCTTTGTTGGGAGATTCGTACGGGCTAAGGTGCTCCCAAGAGACATCCCAAAGCCTCCCAAGACTCTTTCTCTCTCTTTCTGAAGTTTCATGAGCTTGCAACACTGCTTTCGGGTATAAGCGAAAAGGTGCAAGTGCACAGCCGAACACCATCGTGCACACAAATACTCCACAAAAAAAAAAAGGTATGCGCACAACAGTGGACACTTTACAAAGACAACGGCTAACTCACACACACAGAATCTAAAACTTGCACAACCATACACCTCAACACACTCCCCTCCTGCTCTCTCCTCTCCGCTTTATTTACAATCCTCTGGCAGTGGTACAAGGGCCTGGGGCTATAACACACGGCACCTAATGCTCAAACTGCCAGGTAATCTCATGTCTGACATCCCCCTTTGATAGAAACTGATCAATAGACTCTTGTAAAGGAGTCATTTTCTCTGATGTTTCTACCAACCAGTTCTCTCTATCTCTCTCCCCCACTCTCTCTCTCTCCTTTCTCCCCCTTCTCTTTTATTAGCCATACATTTATAATTCATATTTCAGCAGGGCTGAGTTTGATCTGAGGCAAACCGGGACTTCTTTGTGTAATAAAGAACAATGGTGGTGAAATGATGGGGAGAAATGCCAGTGTTTGCTGCTGGTTCCGGTGAACAACAGTTTTGGGGATCGATAGAGTGTGAAATGGGATTATAGCTAGTAATAGAGGTGAATTGGAGGAGAGAGGCCTGTGCATGTGTGCGTCCAGGGATCGAGATTGGATAGCACCACACAAATACACATTAATACGCACGTACTTGTGCACACACACATGCACACGATAATGATTTCATCATCTTTAGGCAGATGCACATCAGCAGCACAGAGGGGTGGTAATATCACATTTCTGTTTTTGCGGAAGTGTGGAAATATGGATATTGTGTTTTTGTTTATGCTGTGATTTCATTTGTTGTCACACAGCATCAAATTTATTTCACATTACAGCCAACCTTACAACACATCTTATTTAAGATGTAAGATGACAGTCATATTTGAATATTTTCAACATCAGCCCTTTGAATTTCACAGGTTGGTGAAAGAAAACTCGTTTCCTAAACAAATAACTGGCCTTGCACCTACAATTTCCTATGAAAAAATCTTTACTCCTCTACAGCTTTCTTTTAATTTGTTGGACTTTACATTATGAGTTTACTACAGATTACACATAGTATCCTATGACTGCTACATTGTCTCCACCCATACAGTATGTGCACTGTACTCAGACTGGCACACTTACCCTCATACTGTATATAGTTTAGTAAGTGTTGTGTGATTAGCTGTCTGGTAAGAATATGTACTTAGTTGAGAACCATACAGAAAATGCATACTGTCAAAGAGTGACATTACATTTGACACAAACAGTCATACGCCAAGTTTAAGGACTTTTTTTCCTTTCTTTTTTGAATCACCCTCTTCTTTCCTGTCTCTTCATCCTCTCCAGACACCGTATGATTGAATCCAGCTGCTTTCAGATGCTTTAATCTCAGTCATGTGACACTTCGATCCTCTCTTTCTTTCCTCCTCTGACATTCCCTATTTCTGGCCAGAGACCTTTTAATATAATATCCATCACATCCCAACTACAGTTATGTAGAACCAAGGATTAACAAATACACACAAATTATCTGATAGAGACCACATAAGTGTTTATTCCATAATAATTTAAAGACCAGTAGTAAAAATAATACTGGACTAGGCTATAGATTTTTAAAGCTGACACTGGCCTATGCATGCATATTTCAGTGCATTCTTATTTACCAGATGAGTAATTACATCATTTTACAAAATGCCAAAAGCTGAAATGGACAAATTACTACACATTGATTATGTACAACAATATTATGTAAAACAAACAGCAATATTACATACAATAACTTCTTAACAACTTAAATCATTGTGGTGAAACTTGTCTGGTGCTGAGCATCTGCTCCTCTAGTGCGTTTTATCCTCATTATTTTATACTGCTCTGTGTACAGTACCATTCTAACAATCTGCATTCAAACTTGTTCATTTTTATAATCCACTCCATCCTAAACCAGATCCACTGTTATCAAGCAGCAAGAAGAATCATCCCAATTCAAGGCAATGTTTTCAAAATACAGAACAAACCTTGAAAAGGACTTCATGTAAATAAAAAGGCTTTTTGTTCATGACAGTAATTTCTCAAGCTGACTCCTCACCCAGTCTATTCAGGACACTGCTAAACCCAGGTAAACAATGCCCCCTTTGTTATAATAATGCATCTTTATTCCTCTTAAGTCATTACAATAGACTCTACATTGCTGGATTGTATTTGCTGAAGGTAAAAGTTGAATAATATGTGGTTTTGTGTGGAGCATAGAGTTGAGGGAATGTGTTTTGATCACAGACAAAGGCCAGGCTATACAGCGTTGTCCTTCTGTCTATATCTTGTTAATGAGCACTGTTCACCGAGCAAGCCAGCCACTGTCTACCACGGAAAGAGACCTCAGATTCATCTCTCTGTGGACAATAGGTGATTGTGTGTATGTGTGTGCATTTGTACCTCGAAGAGCAAAAGCGTATGTGCTAATTAAAGCAGTGGGAGTTGGGTGAAATGGCTGTGTGAGTGTGTAAGTGAGGTGTTTGCTTGGCGTGACCGTAGATGTGTACGTTAATTCTTAATGAGACATTTCTGTGCTCAGAGAGACCCAGACATCACCATTCCTGCACTGACACACTACTACAAAGGCCACCATGAGGCACGCACACGCACAGACACATAAACCAGATCATTACCATACAGCTAAAGCAGTGCACCATTAAATCAAACCTCTACCTACAGGGTGTGTGTGTGTGTATGTGTCCAAGTTAACACTGCATGCAGATAGCTAGCATCTGAATCACCACATTGCTGTACCACTGTTGGCTAATTTATGCTAAGTGATTGAGACACCAGCAGTGTGGCTGCTTCTGCAACAAAAGGCAGGGCCTACTGTATAGGTCCTGAGGAATGTGAAAGGCTTCTGATGGACATCACTGCCCACCATTTCAGTGGCAAGCAAATAGCAAGAAAAGAAGGCCAACTAGTGAATCACAGTGCAGTGAGATAAAATCTCATAAGCTCATACTGACTTTGCGTTTGTACAACACTTGTTCAATGTACTGGCCATCATTCATAACAATATATTATTGAGCTGATGAATAAAAAAGTCTATTTGTATATACACTGTACAGTACAGTATATGTGTATGGATGGACAAAGCAACTTACTGGTGGATTTATTGACTGATTACTACCTGTCACATGATGCTTGCTATGTAGCTCCTCCAGCTCTGGTCTCAGCTGCTTGATGCAAGTGCTCAGGCTCTGTTTCTCTCTAATGGCACTCCTTAACTTCTCCTCCTCCTCCTGTAACTTGTCCTGAAGTCTCTGCATCTCTGCTCTCTGTACATCCATCTCCCTGCACCTTCTCACAACCTCCCGCTGAGCACCCTTCAGCTTCTCCTCTGACTGCCTGAGGAGTGCCACATGTGCCTGCAGCATAAGGACCAAGAAGAACAGCAAACAATGACTGTGATTTCATGTGTGCACATATGATGTTTGTGGTCATGTTCAGCTCAAGTATACTATCTTACTAGACTGTAAAGAATGGCCTTCACACTTGGCACTGAAACTTTACAATTATATATATATTAGCCTGGGCCACACAGCCAGATAAGAGGAAGGTGAAGGGCATCTTGTAACAACATGCAAACTTCAAGCACTTGTTCAAGCTGTTTGGCATGGGGAAATCAACTGTTTTAGGAGTTTGAAACACATTTAATAGTTAACTCTGAATACTATAAAATATGCAGTAGTGTATGTGTCTCTGAAAATCTTCTCTATACCAGGGAAACAAATATTTTCTTCAGAAATTGTTCACTGTCAGTAGCTCTGCACTACTCAGCCAGAGTATGTATGAATAAGCATCTATGTTAAGCATTAAACTGCTGTGTAATTATGTTTATGTACATAAAGATTAATAATTGGTATATGTGTAATACATGTGACAAATGTATATGCAACCTTCAAAATGTGTCATTACATGACACAGACCTGTGAGATAGTCCACAAGGGAGAATCAATAAATGAGCGCGACCTGACAGCAAGACACTACACTTTTCCTGATGTGTGTGTATGTGCATTTGTGAGAAAATGAGTGTGCATGTACATGATCTCAGTAAGCAGCACGTGAATCACTTGCCAGAGGATGCACAAATTAATGTTTAGAACCAAATGTTCCCACTTCCACCTACGCATGCAAGACTACGCACGCACACACGCTTACACACACATAAATGATGTGTCAATGACTGCTAGCAATGTTGGCACATTGCCAGGCTACAGTCACCACTTTGAGTAATTTGAATATTTAGTGTCCCATTGAGCTCTTAATTGGAGTCAATTTCACCAGCCTTGGCACCGTTTGGTGTTTTAATTAATGGCGAGGCAATTTGTTTCTGCCAGGCAGTCACGAGTGGGTGTGTGGCACTGGTGGAGGTGGGTCGAGTACCTCTCTTTGGGAACTTGAATTGAAATCTCTAGCTTGTGTTCTTGGCCTGAGATGCATATACAGACAACCTTTAAGGACAATGGATGCACCCCCCTGTATTCACAAGTAGAGGGGTAAAAATAATTTTGCCCTCCAAATTAGAGGGCAGGTCAGCAAATAGGCATTATATTAATACCTTCTGGGCATCTGCTACCTCAAGCTCTAAGCGTGTTACTTCCTTTTTTAGATGTGCCACTTCCTGTTCCAGCTGGCTGTGATTCATTAGGTGTGTATGGTGGGATACAGCAAGAGTTTGCTTCAGATCTGCTTTTTCCTGAGTTCTATGGAGAAGTGAGAAAAGCATTACTGGCCACTCTGTGAACTGCTGTGTAAGGAATACATACAGTAATACCAATAAACACAATTAACAAAAAAGTAAACCAGAAAACAAATTAGTTAAATAAAAGGGAAGTATCTGAACAGATTTTCCATGCAACATACAGTACGATACTGTGTGCCAGTTAAGTAGACTGTTAAAAGAAATAGAGTAGGAGGTGGAGGCAGATGGGAAGGGCATTAGAGGAGAGACAAGGACAGGAACCAGGATCAGCAGAGGAAAATGAGAGTTTTATAGAGTCTGTTATTACTGTCGCTCCAGGTCTGACTTCATCTGAAGAATAGCCTTTTCACGCTCCACAAGGCACTGAACTTGCTCAGTACAGCACTGAAACACAGACACGCATACAAAAAATATGGATGATGGTATGCAGAATCATTTTTTGTTACTGTAAATGTGAAACTAACTTCAAGTGTGAATCTGCATTCAGATGAAACTACTAGAAAGTAAAACACATTCATGTTTCACTTATATTAGAATATAACTATAAATAATAAGGTGAAATTTGTAATATGTAATCTTAATGTGCAAGAAGAGCACAATCTATAACCTTACCTTCTGTAACTGCTGTCCGTGTCTTACCAGGCTGAGGTACTTCTCATCAGAATGAGAGTGACTCTGCTTATATAGCTGAAGGTCACACTCCAACATCAATTTCTATGAGCAGAGAAAATAAGTAAAATAGGCAGTTAAAAAAGAAAAATATTGTATTTTATTGCTTGTTTTAGCCACTTTTTTCATTACAAATGCAAAAAGGTGCATTTTAGGGTTGACTAAGCCCAAAAGGTCGCAAATTAGCTGGACTTAAAGCACCATAAGAACTCCAGACCTCTGATAGGTTCCTCACAATCAAAGTCATTAGCCAGTATAATAAAGGCTGAGAGATACAGCCATTCTTCAACAGCCTAACTCTTTTATAACCAACAGATTAAAGTTGATTGGATTAAAATGACATTCTACCCGTCTGACCTTGACGGCTGCAGTTAAGGTCATCCAAATGAAATTTCTCTATAATAAAGATGATTCATTTGTTGCTTGATGTAGTAAATATAACAGAAAATAAAAGGAGAAGAGATTAAGTGAAACCCAGCACTGTATACACGCACGCAACACATACTTGTACATACACATACTATAGGCATGTTTACAATGACACACACATACTCAAGCTTGGACACACATAACACTAAAGGCTCAGGCAAACCCCCCCGTGCACACGTACAAGAACAGGAACACCCATTTGAGCTAACTTAAATACTTGTAACCCATGTATTTCTGTTGAGAGCTAAGGAACGGTCCTGTGAAGACTGCATCCTTTAACAGTGCAAACCTTTGCCAAGGCATCTCAGTCTCCTTAAAAAAATTGTGGATTTGGGAAATGATCCGGATCACCACCAAATTCAAATGGATTGTTTTATTGGCCATATGCTGCTTCCCCCCAAAAAAGGTAATCAAAAATCCATTCATTACTTTTTGAGTTATGCAATGAACAGTCCAACAAACAAATGTCGGTAAAAACATTATCTCCTTGGGGGAGGTAAAAATACATATAAGCAATATAAATATTGGAGGAACACTGGTTTCATACTTTGAAATGAAAGATTGTCCCCAGTGGCTAATGAGCTGATCACATAATCTCACAACACTATCATGATTGTCTCCCAAGAGGCTTCACTGACTATTTCGTAGAAATTTTAAGAGGAACTAGACAGCACTCAGACAGGACAAACCTCCAACAGGGCAGATCAGATTCCTCATAATGCCACTGCACCTAAAAGCTACATTCCCATGATAATTTTACCCTCATAATATGATTCCTTGACCATGAAAACCTACCCCTAGCATTTGTCTACATATGCTCATGTGTGTCCTTACCTGCTGTTTGAGTGTGTCCACCTTCTGCTGCAGGGATTCCACTTGACTTGTGAAGTGGTCTACTTTCTGCAGACTCGCTCTCAGAAGGTTCTGATTGGCCTGGAGCTCATTTGTCAACTGGTCAAGTGACTCCTGTGAGCTCTCCCACTGGCCAACCTTTTCCTGGTACTGCTTCTCCAGTTCAGCTAGCTGTTCCTTCACTGAATGAGTTGTTGACTGGGACTCTCTTAGCTGCCAATTAAACATTGCGAATAGGGCAATGGCAGAATTTTAGACTGCAATTTTACTCACAGGCCTAATGTCATGTTAGAAAACGTGTCACAGATCTCTGATGCTAGTAAAAGTCATGTACAATTCAAGTTTAATGTAAACTACAGTACACATGTACTGATGTACTGTACCTGTTGCTGTGAGTACTGTAGTTCCTCTTCCAAAAGTACCACCTGCCCTTGAACCTGATGCACCTTCTCTATTGCTGCTGTATACTTTTGTTTCAAATTTTCTATTGTCTCCTTCTGCTCCTGGACTTGCAAACTGGCATCTTTCCGCTCCTCCTTAGCTGCTTTCAGCTGCTGATATGTTGCAAATAGCTGGTGAATAAAGCAATATTTTTTTATTTGTGTAAATAAATACACAAATTCTGAAACAGTTACATCAAGAACCATCCTCATTATCATAATGCTACAAAACAAACAAAAATAGGACACTTTACATGAAGCTTTGTCAAGATTAAATGTACCTGAAAAAACAAAAAAAATAGACATATGTTAGTTTGGCTAACATGGTGCAATATACTGTGCTGTTCTACAGTAACCTCTGTCATAATGAAAGGCAAAACTAGGAAGTGAAACCAGGTTTAATCCCAATGATACATGAGGAATCCTACCTTATCTCACCTTTCAAGGGAAGAGGTTGAGAAAGTTAAACCTGCTCTAACACTCATCTTGAGTTCAGCCACATTAATCCTGCTGTTATCTGGATCAGAACATGAGGGCTTACAACTAATGACAGCCAACTAGTTAGATTTCAGTGATTCACCACATCTTGGTTTAACCAGGGTTTAACTAGGCCCATCTAACACTGGGTAGAAGATGAGTAGAGAACTTGCTCATGCACCGAGAGAGACATAGACCAGAGGAGCGGAGATAAGTATTGTGTAGGTGTGGAGTGTTTAAAACCAATGACTCAGCCAGTGCACAGTACACTCAATTTATTATGAGTGTGAAGGTAAATGTTTTACCCAAGATTACCCAGTGTTAACAGTTTTAAAGTCACACTATAAAACACCCGTAATATAAAGCAAGGTGCCATGTGACAACTTTATCTATTCTAGATCTCTGTGTTACTTTCTCCCCATCTGTCACGGTATTTCTTTCTCTGCGTGTCCACTACCTCCAAACACTACTGATGGATATAGCATTTCTTTTGGCTGCCGGATGAAAGGCCTCATAACAAGGCTTAATGGGATCGCCATGGCTTCCTTGTGACCATAATCATGATCTTGTGCTTTGGGGAAACAAACAGCCCTCATTAAACATGATAGACCTGACGAACCTCATGCGGCCTGGAATTTGAGTGTTCATGGCTGTCACATGACTGCTCAAGTCGACCCTCGGATGATAATAGCTTTTTTCTTCTTCTTTTGTTGAATCACTTAGTCTGTGTTTCACTCTGTATTCATGTTGGGGTCCAGTTGGAGGAGAGAGAGGCTGACAAACAGAGGTGCCATTTTGTTGTTTGGAAATTCAGATGATATAGATAGGGGTATATGTAAGTTGACTGCAAAATAAAGCGTGTCTGCTATAAACGGGTCAGTTTGTTATTCCTGGCAGAGGACTCTGACTACTTGAATGTCTACTGTGATTTAGCTCACTGGCACTCAGACACATAATTGTATATGATTTTTACTTTTCTGTTGTTTACTAGATTAACACGATACATTGTTTTGCTGTAGGACTGATAATCAACTGATTATGAAATGAACACACTCAAAACATGCCTTTTTTCTGTTGCTGACTTAAACTGTCCTTGAGCTTTGTGACTTCTGACTCTTGATTCTTCAGCCTGTTGTGTTTTTGGTTGAGCTGAGATTTGTTCTGCTTCAGTCAGCTTTGAAGCAGAATGCTTCTTTGGCTCAATCTTGTGAGCCTGTTTTACAGCTCCCACATCAGAGTTCAAATGATCTAGAGATTCCACTAAAGAATTCATCTGTAGAGGAGGCGGAGATGAGAGAAGGGAATTCTTCTTTACCTGTTGCTGACTAATACGAATTTGATCTTGAAGCTGCTGTTGTTCTTTCTCCCTTTGGTTTTTAAGGTGCTCAGTTTCTCTGACCTTTTTGCTTAATTTATAGGCCTCTTCTTGGTGTCTGCTGACCTTGTGTTTCAAATGTCTTATCTCACCCTCTAATACTGCCAAATGAGCAAAAGGAAAGAAAGGAAAATAGAAAAGGAGGGAAAGTGAACACGTTTATGCAGGCATGTACAGTATACAGGGGGCAGCAGCAGCCTAAAAGTGAGGGAATACGATTTGAGTCAGAGTTTCCCTATTTAGTCTCCAGCTGGGAGTATCAATTCCCCTTTCCTCAGCTCCAACTTTCAAGGAACCTTTGAGCAAGGTGCTACAGCTCCCACTGCTCAGTAGCCAACAGTAGAAGAGTGTTGCTGGTTTGGGCACCTCCCTCGAGTGGATGTGTGCAACTCTGTGGGTGTAATGCAAAGCATTTTTGGAAAAACAAACAAACAAACAAAAAGCCACACACACACAAGGGTGCTCATTTAACCTAGCCTCAGCATCTGAAAGGAAAAAAAGTAAAACATTTTTAAGACTTGCAGTAAAGCTGAATTTAACCCCTGTGACCAAAATCCAAAAAACAGAAACACACCCAGTTAATTCATCCTAATGCTCATAAAACACTCCTATAATATTAAAAGGAGTATTAAAATGAGAATTGCAAAATTGCAATTATATACCCTGAAATATAACCAACAATAAGGACATAAAAAGGTCTAAATGAGGCAAAATGCACAAGTCAATATACTATACACACTGTACATAAACAAGGTACCACACCTGTTCCTGTGTATCTCGATGCTTCTGTTCAGCTGTCTTCATTTCAGCTCTTAGCTGCACAATTAACTGATCTCTGCTTCGAACCTAAGCACACAGAAAATGTGCTTAAAACTAAATTCCAATCAATTCCATATATGTTGGCAATGTAGCCCATTATGTTAGTTTAGTTAAAGACTTGGTTAGTAACATTTGCTGCATAGCTGTGATCTACACATGCAGGCAAACATGAACACATGCAGAAACACAGAGAGATGGACCTCCAGATGTGTGGTGTGGAGTTTCTCATGGCTCCGAGCCGCGTCAGCCTCCAGTTGCTCTCTGGTGTGGTTCAGGTGAACACACTGTCTGCTCTGGTCCTCCATCTTGGCTCTCAGCTCGTCCCTCTCCTCGCACAGTTTCTCCAAATCCTTCTCACTTTGGAGCAACTGGGAAACATTCAGTTAAACTAGTGTAACAATTTTACCATACTTCATAACGCCCACATTAAGTCAACAACAACAACATATAAATAAATAAAATTAATTATAAATAACACCCTAAACATTAAAAGTAATATTTTTAATTGTCACATCAGAAAAGCCAATCAGCATTAACAATGTATAATATGCAAAGCCTATAATTAAACTGACTGTAATTTTGAATTGGTTCTCAAATAAATACTATTCCAGCAGTTAAATCTATTCCATAATAGAATCAACAATCAAATGTTCTTTTAGGTAACAATATGAATCATGAGCATCAGAAAGGTTCAGTTTGGTAACTAAATAATGAAGCTGTTGTTTTTACCTTTTTCTGAGAATCTGAGTGCTGCTTATTACTCTCTGCGAGCTCCTTCACTAGGGCACACATTTTTATCTCCTGCTTCTTTATCTGTAAGACAAAAAATGTTTTGCAAGGATGTGGGATTTTTTTTTTTTTTTTGGCAAAACACAGATGGTCTTTTTGATGATATTTTCATTATGTAACACTGACAACACAAATTGAACCTAATTAAACAGGGTAACTCAGGTCACTGTTTGCACACCTAGAGATATAATATTCCAGTCTTTTTATCATATTTGTGTTTAAGGTAGCAGTGGTGGTGGGCGGATGATGATGTGTGCAGACAAACAATTGTTTATACTTCTCCTAGTACACAGTGCATCTGACAACTGCTTGTTGCTTGTGTTTGTCTGTTTCGATGGTGACCTTCCCTAATTAATCACTTAACTTCTATGCCAAAGGTGTGTCTGTGTGCTTTCATGCTTTCATGTTGGAATAATTTCACAAACCATCTGGAGAACTGTTTTCAACATTTTTTTTTATCTTTTCCATCTGTGTTCACTGAGTCTGCATCTTGTCGAAGTTTTTCTGTTTGAGGTCAATCAAAATGACCTGGTATCTGCCATTGTGTGTCTATTTGTAATGTGTATATACCACCATCTTTCTGTCTTTCTCCATCCCTCCCCTCTTCCTGTCTGTTCTGCATGATTCAGGGATTGTTTTGACCAGAGTTGAGGGCTCGTTTGTAACTGTCCTGAGGGATTAATGGAGCTAACTTGGCTCTTTGACCTCTCACTTGTGGCTGTCAGTAGCCAGGCTCACTAAACACAGTAAACCTGATAAACCTGGGCTATTGCAAGAGGAGAGACAATACAAAAAACAAAAAGTGCTGATATAAACACACAGCCATACTGGACAGAAATGATACAAGTTGTGTTTTGCAATCCATACAGTACATCAGAAAAGATAGTATAGGCACATTTGTGCAAACAAAGAAATGACCAAAACATTTACTTATGTTACATGTTAAAAAGTTATTCCACTTATTCACAACAAATGCATCACTCACTTCCTGCCAAGTTTTAAATCTTAGCTTGATTTATCTTTGAGTGCATGTGGTTATGAGTGTATTCCCAATGTGAGTGCATGATAGGCAGAAAGGAAGTTGATAAACACTGGAGGATGTCGTGTCAAAACAGACAACTTGTCAAAACGACACGCTAACTAGGTCAATCACAAAGTTTAAGAGAAACTTTGGAGTGGAGCTTTGGTTCACTCATATCACTACATGGATGTCTATGTGTCTGCGCGATAAGCTCCTGAACAAATCTGCAGGAGGGGACCTCCAATATCGAAGGTATTTTTAAATCAATGAGCTCTTAAGTGTATCTCAGTCTCAATGTGTTCACACAAAAGCACGCGCACAACACAGCACAGCCAGAATCCCTACTGACATGCAATGACAAGATAAAGAAAGGATGAAAAAAGGGATAGGAGGACAGGAGGGGGTAAAATATTATTTGAACAGTTGGAGGTGGAGGGTGGGGTGTAAGGGAGAAGTGGCATGGCAAGAAAAGAAATAAGC